AAGAGCGATTCACACAGCTTCGGAAAAATCGAGGCAACTGCAGCTACAAAGCTATCCGGAATGAGCGTAAGCTGGGCTGTGGTGGCGCGTCTGATTGGACTGAAAACGAAGTTTAAAAGGCGGCGATTGCATGGCACTTTCCAGGCGCCCGAGTTAGAAGTGTTGGACCCATCGCTTAAGCATGACAGGAGGTTCGGTCAGGCGAAACCTAATGACCCCTGGAAAGCAGTGAAGGGCTGTAGATATCTGAGAATTCCGACAAGAAACGATACATAAAATAGCGCTTCGCTATAAGTTCGTTCCCAAAGTTCTTCCTTCCCCTTCGATTCTTGAGAGATTTTAACAAGCTTTGGAACGAAGTTGTGCTGCCCCCCCTGGCCTCTCCCAAGCTTTTCCGTGCCTGAAGGAAAGACTAGTGCACAGGCTTCCGCTACATTTGCCCATAAGCCAAGTGCTATCTTAATAAAACACTGGCAATTTTATGCTTTAACAGAAATGTTTATTTATAGAAAATAACAAGAAGTAGACCGAAGGTAAATAAAGTGGGTCATCCACTCCGAACTTATAATACATAAATATTATCTTACAGAAAATGAACATAACACAAAATACAGTGATGAAACGAAAATTAACAAGATATCACTCAAAACTTCTACAGTGGCTATAGCAGTTCAAAGGCAGGATTTTCAATTTATTATCATGGCACAAAAGGTGAATGTCGAATTTGGACTCTTAATGAACAGAATGTCACCTGAGGTGTCATTGAAAACCCTGAAAACACAGTAGTCTCTAACAAATAGTTTCATAATTTCAAATCATTTACACTAGTTGGATTAATTTGCAGCTGTCACAGTTGCAAATGGGTTTTGAAACCAATGTCTACATAACTGTAATCATCACAAACTTGAAGTGCATCTAACTTTAAGATGGGATTATTAGATCAGTAGAAAAACTCATAGTATCCTCGTGAACCATATTCTGTTGAGGGTCTTTGACGATCTTCATATCCTCTGTGACCACGGTCATCTCGATAGCGCCCACCATATCTGTATGCAGTAAAACAACAACAAAAAGGATAACAAATACTAGAACTACTTACGATACAGTTATTGATGCAATGTAAAAAAAAAAAAAATCAAATATTACAAAAAAACAACCAACCAAACAAACAACTGTCCCTTATGTTTATCCTGACCTGACTTTCATATTTACTTATTAATATTTTAATATTATTTTACTTTTTAACTTTTTTAATATATACTTATTTTTTACATTCATAATTTCTTTTTTGTGTGTCCCTAATTAGCAGCAATGCTAAATACCCCAGACACGTTAATAAAGGTTTTTTTGTTTGTTTGTTTGTTTATGGCTCATTTACCTGAATTACTATTGTTTGCATCTAATCATGAATGTGTGAAGTGAAAATATTATCTAACTGGGTAAAAAAACTTGTGTGATCAGCTGCTAAACTGTCACAGATGACAATGCTTTGGAGATATTTTTGAGCTTACATGTTAACTGCCAAGCACTTTCATGGAAGACATTTATGAATAAACAAATATCTTTGAAACTTCAAGCCTGGTTGTCTACTTTCTAATAACTTCATCCTTTTTCAAAATATAGTTACAACTCAAACAATAATTGTATTTACTTATTTTCATTTTACTAAGTTTTCCCTAAAAACCATTTGACCAAACCTTGACATAAGGCCATTCTCACACCATTTCTTTCACCCAGTCTTTTTTACATTTTTTTGCTGAACAGTAAGCTGCAAATCTTAAAACTGGTACTGAATTNACTGCCAAGCACTTTCATGGAAGACATTTATGAATAAACAAATATCTTTGAAACTTCAAGCCTGGTTGTCCACTTTCTAATGACTTCATCCTTTTTCAAAATATAGTTACAACTCAAACAATAATTGTATTTACCTATTTTCATTTTACTAAGTTTTCCCTAAAAACCATTTGACCAAACCTTGACGTAAGGTCATTCTCACACCATTTCTTTCACCCAGTCTTTTTTACATTTTTTTGCTGAACAGTAAGCTGCAAATCTTAAAACTGGTACTGAATTAATTTGGACATCATCATTCCTTGGAATGATGACACTCCCTACCTGTCATCCCTGTGATGATATGAGCCATGTCTATCACCTCCTCTGTGTCGATCTTCATGATCTCCATATCGCCTGCCATGGTCCCGCCCACTATCATGCCTGGACCTTTCATAACCTCTGCCATCACTGCCACTGCCATGGTGAGAACGACTGTAAGATGCAAATTGTATAACACCAATGTAAAGTATATTAGAGATCCAAAAAGTACCAATAGCTCAGTTAAAATTATAATGATTTTCAGCCCTCCAGCTGCAGTTGGCTGGAATGGTTTGTGCTCTTTCTTTCCTTGCAAACTTGTTAATTGATAAAGTCCAATTAATGAATGTTCTGACTTTTAATTGGATATTGATCGTCATGTGTGCAACCCTTCAAACACAGGACAGCATAAAAAATCTACAACACCGTACGTATCACAAAATTAAAAGAAACATTATTTAAAATCTAAAAACCTGCGAGCAATGTACATGTAAAAAAGTTCCACTAAAAGAGCAGATGCCACTTTGTAGCAAGTTGCATTTCTCATCCCAAGAGATGAGACTCTTGTCTGTGTTGTAACTTAAAATTCAACTTGTAAGTGGCATATTCATCAACCACAACTCAGATTGACTTCAAAAAAAGAGTTTATGAATATCACAGATGAGGACAAATTTTAGCAACTGAGTAAATTTTCCAACAAACCAAAATGATCGTCAATAAACAGATTGATTTTGGTTGACCTGAGACAAGAGATGCTCATTTCGAGAGAAACAGATGAGAAAGGCAACTCACCTTTGGGAGGTGCTGTAGTAGATGAAGGGAATGTTGCTTGCAAACAGAAATAGCACATGTGCCAATATCACTGCACATCTTCTGGTTCGTACAGCACAGATCTTACTACAGCCACACACACTGTAGTTCATCTAATCTTTTCATGCATGGATCTCTTCAATTACTAGAACTATGCATCTTGCAGGCCCCCCAAAATGTAGGGGTGTAAATTAACTCTATGTAAAGAAATTTAAAGATTTCATGACTGTGGCTGAGAGTTGTTTCTGTAAAATTTTGTCTGTACTTTGTCGATAATATTTTGTTGTAAAAATTTGTGTACAGACTAATACAATAATTGCAACTCTCATAGTATTTCTATAACTTGAAATTCCTGCAAAAATTATTTCAAAAATATTCACCTGCCTGTCAGGGAAGCAAGGGACAGAATCCACTAGCCTAAATGTAAAAGCCGTTAGCCCCAGGCCATCAGTCATGACTTTCTTTGCAAACTTGTGTTTTCAACACTTATGATACTTGGGGCGTTTTCCATTTACAAAAAATTCGGAAAATTGCTATCGGGAATTTCTGTTTGGGAAAAGAGTGTTCCATTTGTCACAAGTCCCATTTGTTCACAGGACCCTCTCTGTTGCTTCACTGAATCTCCTGCGAATATTCAAAATGGAGGCCAATGAAGCCCATCAGATGTGTTTTTTGTGCGAAATGTTAGAAGTCTCTATAGAGGAAAAGAGTTTGATTAATTCAGAAGATGATGCAGTAGATATCTTTTCAGTGACCTCAACGTTCATGAGACCGAATTTGCAACAAACTGAAGGCTATTTTGAACACGCGTTGCCTGGATATTCACTTGATGAGTTTAATGAGTTGAATGACGAGGCACAATGGCAGGTCTGTGTAGAGTAGTCCAAGCTACAGGAAGAGTGCCACAATGGCAATAAATTTTCTAGATCTGGTGCTAGAATGTGGCAGGCAGAGCACTCGTAGTAGCCCTGAAAGTTTGTTTACAAAAGGCTTCCAGAAAACTGACCCTGATCAGCCGCCATTTTTGTTGAAACACCAGGGAGTCGAGGGAAGCCTGGCCGCTTAAAAGACCGTGAAAGGCATGAAACTGGTGATAAAGACGAGAAATCTGTAAATGGAACACAAATTTTCCATTGGGAAGTTTCCACCGGGAAAACGGGACTACGTTTTCAGAAATTCCGTTTATTCTGGAAAATTTTCAGTGGAACGAACCAAAAAGTCGTGTTCCATTTACATCCAAACCGGGATTTCCGGAATTTTTTGGTAAATGGAAAACGCTCTTGGTCACTCCTTGCAGTACTAACCGCAATACTAACCGACTACCAAAGCTAGGTGCTAACACATAGACATACAGAGCTTCATCTTTGTCAGAGTCAATTCAAGCTACGTACAGGCTATTTGGGGATGGAGCGTAAGCAGGATATCTCTCTTTTCACTAGACATACAAATTACGGGTAGTCGTCGTTTAGAGAGCCCTTATAATTGAAGGGAAGCTCTTTACCTGTCTCTATATCCAGTATTGAGCCAATCAGTCAGGCAAGGTGGCGAAGCTTGAGGCCTGTTGACCGTTTTCATATACTCCTCATCTTCACTAGTGAAACGCTTCGCAAACAGTTTTTCGTATTCCGCAAGGGTTTCTTCAGGTGAGGCCATATTGAATATGAGGCAAGTTAAAGAAAAGAATCCGCAGATTGCAAGAAAACTACAGTACTCAATCGACTTCTCAAACGAAATGGACAACCTCGTGTTTCGAGCCTGGCTACAAAGTTGCTTTTTTACCTGGCCTGGCTACAAAGGTTCGCCTCACGAATGATGGAATCCTATCCACCAGTCACGGGATTTTCCTTCGCAGACAATGTTGCAGCGGTAGATTTTGTCTACAATGATTTTATTTTCTTTTTCTGCGGCAATTACTGGCCCCGATGAAAACATAAAAGTATATAGAAAGTCTTACCATCTTTTTGCTGAAAACAACTGATATGGACCAAGTATGGTAACATAACAAGCACTCGGTACAAAGTCCGCTACTAAGGTAAGTGGAGAATGCGGGAGAATGAGCTTATTATATCGATACGAAGACGAGATCTATTTAATCCAGTTCAAAATTTAAGTTCTAAGGAGTTGAACGGATAGAGGAGCAGTCATTTGTGAGGTTGCAGGAGCTTCTTTTCGTTACACAGACATTTTATCGAAATTCACGGGTGGAAAAGAAATGTGTCTCCTCTTGCGTCGGTTTCGACTGATCACGACTTCAGCACTGTAGTCGGCTGCTATCAGCTGCTATCGAGAGAGAAAAAAAATCCAGTTAGAAACAGGAAAATGTTTTGGCACCTGGATTTAGATTCGAGGTAAAGGAACAAAAGGACAGACGCGGAAACGCCATTTTCCAGGAAAAGGGAGAAGCGTGAATATTGCTGAGCCCATCGAGCTTGGGAGTTTCGCAATCGAATCCAATTCTACGCGCTGTCAAAACAGTTCCTCTTTGAGACTGATAAAATTGCCAACAAAGTACAAAAACGTTTCATTTCGAGGTAGAAAATTAAAATACCCCAGTTCCTGTATCTGTATTGTTTTGCTTGCTACCTCGACGAACTGGAGGCAAAATAAAGGGTCTGATCTGTGGATAAACTACTAAATCCATGGCTTCGAAAAAGGTCATATTGCCCCTCAAAATCGAAGAAAAACGGCAAGGACATTTTGTTTTGTTTTGTTTTGTTTTAAAATATTTTTAACATTTTTGGGAAGAATGCCCTCAGACTCCCGTACGAAGGAAAGAGCGGAAAATTTCCGATTCTCACCTCGAATATCAACAGCTCGAACATCAAAACATGTTATGGATGTCTTGAGAAATGATGAAAGTATAATGTGAAAAAAAAAGGTTTGACCATAGAATCGGAGTTCGATGCAGTTAGCAGATGTTCGCCTTGCATTCAACTTGATTGCGAGCTCTCATATTACACCTGGGGGCGAAGTCGAAGGATGGGCCCCCTGCTAGGTTACACTATGACGTCAGGCATGTAACAAATCTTTGCGCGCGCACACGTGTGAGTAATTGCCTTGTTGGCGGGCTAGTTTGTGAGAGGTGGGAAACTTCACTTCGTTATGGAGCCTAAAAGGTGTTTAGAGCCTCCTGAATCGATGGAGGACGTTGTAAAAGGTCTTCATGTTCTTTTTGAAGAAGACCGCGTCAATGTTGAGCAGGTTATTTCGTTTTTAGAGTCATATCGATCAAACCCGGCTGATTGGGCAAAATACGCGAACTACGATCCTCACCGGTTTGTGTAACTTTGTTTCCATTATTTAATGGTATTTAGTACATTGTTATAATTAGCTGTTTTTGTACTATTTTAAATGTTCCTTTTCTAATGTCGCAGGTACACAAGAAACTTAGTAGACGAAGGAAATGGAAAATTCAACTTGATCGTATTGTGTTGGGGAGAAGGCCAAGGGAGGTAAGAAAAAGTTCAACGTTTTGGCCATCATAAACCTGAAGGGTTTCATGGATTCATATTGTTATATTTGAAAAAAAGAGAAGGCTTTTCTACTGTTTGTGGCAGTTTATATCAGTTATACCTCTAGCATATTGGTCCCAATTTAGCGAAGTTCACGGAAAGCTGAAATGATGCAACTTCCACAGATATTGTTGAGCACTGTCTAGACAGTCACAGGCTTATATGACAAGAACGTTAATTAATGTCCTTCGCGCTTGATTAATATCGCTAATCTTTCAACCTCTGCGAGACATGTCTAAGTATTATGTGTAATATTGTTAGCCTTTTCCATGTCAAGAAGCTGGTTATCTAATTTGGAGGAGATTTGACTAAATTCCTGGTAACATAGGCCCAAATCCCAGAGGTTTAATTTCCTCAGACACGAAATGGTATTTTTTGGCTTCATGAATTGATGAGAGCCTCCATTCAGGTCCCAATAACATGGTCTCTGGTACTTGAGACAACCCTCCCCCTGAGTCAACTTTATGGAGCATTTATATGGGAAAGTGTTGTCCTTGTAGGCCGCGTCAAAGTTGACCCTGCATGATTATTCACAACCCTTATTGAATAGTTAAATGTGCAAATATCCCTGTCTCCTTAATTTTTCCATGCTAAATCAATCACAGTGGGTTTTGCCCGGTTGATTTTCTCTTCTTTGGTACAAATTTCTGCTTTAAATCCTAAATTCAGGCATTGTATGACACTGCAGGCCTACTGGCACCTCAATAACTGATGATGATGACACTCACCACCCTGAGAGTTGTCCTGGTTAGGCGAGCCAAAGTGTCTATATGAAGAAAAAGTTGACACCCGTGTTGTCTCACCCCTCCAGATAGGTTTGAGATCTTCATGTAAATGATTGGTTGAATTTTGCAAAGAAATGAGTGAAAAATTAGCTCAGCCAGGGTAACTCACTGTGAGGGTTGCCTCAGGTATCCGAGGCCATGTTTGTAAAGTTTGTAATTGCCATCATAAACATGAAGCTAGACAAACAAACTGTGAACACCTGTTAATCAGATATTACTAAAATGATTGTTAGAAACGTGAAAGAAAATTAATACGTACAGTATCACAAATTGAAAGTTATCGCTAAAGTGATTCTTAACTACATGTAGACTGAAACAACGCAGTGTAGAAAAAAGGTATTACTTCAATGGTCTACATTAACCAAAATAACAATGGGCTGTTGCAATAGTCCTAACTTTTGATTTGCGCACAGAACAATGCTGACATTTGGCTGTGAGGTAGATGTCGGGGCATGATGAGAACTAGGTAAAATAAATAATAATGTGTCAGTTTACCAGTCAGATTCACCCATTTGATTGAAATTAATAATAACATATTAAGGCTTAACACCCGTTAATTGATTTTTCATTGTGGCAGAATTGTATTATTTCGCTATACAATCAAACCTGCGTTTTTAGAAATCCTGTACTTGACTTCACTTCATGGGCTAAAATGGCTTTTTTGTTATAGAAAGGTTACCGTATTATTGTTTGTCTCACCATGTAGTCACCTGAGATTAAGATCACGACTTTTTGAGTGCTTACTGGTGATGAGATTGACACTTTGTGTAGCATTATGGTCAGCTGGGATTTGTGGATTTCAATCGGGTTCCTCATAGGCTTTCCACTGTGCACCATTGTTATACCATTCTTCTGTTGTTGTGTCTCTTGACCTTAGACTGATTGCCAAAAGAAACACAGGAAAAACCTGTGTATAAGACCCTACTAGGTTTTTTCAAGTTAACCTCTATAAGTTCTTATATAAATGGTGTTCACTGTGAAGTTAGGCTACTTAGGTTCTTAATCAGGTTTTTAATTTTTGTTACCCTTTTTTGTGTCGCATGTGATTGATGTACTGTATTATATTTGAAAAAAATGCTAAATAAGAACCTGTAGTGAGATTTTAGCCTAGAATGGTTCTGAAGTGAAGGATGCTTAAGAGGGAAATTTTAACTTAACAGGCTCTTAAATTTCAGGTTCTTATATGCTGGTTTTTACTGTATTACAAACAAACTACACCAAACACTGCAGATAAGGACATAATGACCACATGCTATGCATTACAGGGGGTAAATTACTCAGCATGTTAAAATGCAACCATGACTACGTTTTGTTTCCAAGTTCATGGGGTTCTACTACTAAATGAATGGGTTCCTGATATTTTACTTTCGGTTTTCCTAGCATGTAATTTATTTCTTCCATAAATCAAAATAGTAGTTTCCTATAAGAGAAACAGTAAAATAATACTTATAAACTAACACAAATGCATAAAATTATTTAATTGTGACCTGGTGAAGTTGCTGATTTGGAACATGTTACAAAGCGAAATTAAGCTGACGAAATCTGATTGCCAAAAGAATTTGTTTCAAATAAACCACACCGAACACTACAGATAAGGACATTGCTACTGTATGCGTTTGAGGCGGTAAATTACTCAACATGCTGAAATGTAACCATGACTACACTTTGTTTTCAAGATCATGGGTTTGTACGTCTAAGATATCTGTTGCAGAAAAGAGGCTTTTCTTTAAAATTTTTCAATGTGGTCCAAGCCACGCACATGATACTGCAGTGACTGCATGAAGTGTATTATCATGTTCCAGTGATGTTGCTGTTGCTGATGAATTTTCCCAGAGTTGTATATATAATATTTAATTTTGAAAATCACTAGGCAGGTTGGATGGAGAATTTGCTAGCTGCAGCTGGCAGCTTGTTGCTATATTGAACCCCTCTGATCACATTGTTTTTTTCTGCTAAAATTGTTGCTAGGACTTGACATGTTAACTAGAAAAACCTGCATTATTGGGAAATATATAGTTATTATAATGATAAATCAATTCACATGTACATGACATAAATGAAAAAGGTCTCTCCCAAATAATGAATTTGGTCCTTGCTAAAACCTCACTTCTGTAAAATTGAAAATGCTGAACCTTGTAAGGAATGCTGTAGATTTAAGTATTTTATATTATATTTTCTTATCCTTTACTTGCTTCTTTTTTGTTTCCATAGTTCTATTCATGATCACACTGATGCCCACTGCTTCCTGAAGGTGCTAGATGGAAGACTTAAAGAAACACAGTATCCATGGCCCTCAGACTCTGAGCCTGAGAAACCTCTGGAACCAACAGCGTCAAGATTTTATGAGACTAATGAAGTCAACTACATCAATGGTATGTCTAAACCAATGATATGTCTGCTCATTGATGAATAGCCTTCACTCATCGTGCTTAAAAGCAAAATATTATTCG